GTAGGGCATACAAGTTTTGTTCCCCATCACTCAGTATTCACTCTCCTTTGTTGCCTGATGTCCAGGGTCTTGATATGGTCATTTCATATATTTTGTCATGTGTTTCTGATGTTTCAGGCTGGAGATTAAATATTCCCACGTCTAATTTATTTTTTCCTTACGTGGTAGTCTGAGAGTAGCATTTTAATTGGGTGATAGTGGTTCAATATCATACTTCCAGAATTTACAATGTTGAGTGTAGGAGAGCTAATATTAATTACAAGAGCTCTGAAAACTTGCTGTAAAAAAGGAACAGTGTGTTTCTGGGATGCTAGCCAGTGCTTAAGTGGCTAACGTCTCTGGCTTATATCTGTCTGCCTCAAGTGCAGAATGTGCCATGTATGAACATAATGAGCTCTTGGTATATTATTCACTAGAAAAGAATTCGGTATGTAGTTGAATCTGTTTAGGGCCCCTTTCCAAGGAGAGTCTTTAAAGGAACTTGTTAAAAGCTGATTCCAAGGCATAGAAGGATAACTGTATACCCAGGCTCCAATATTTATGATTTCTTGTGTTAGATTATGGCAGTATCACATACCTGTTTGAGAAATTCTTACTTGTAGTCATTTCTAATTTTCATTTAATCTCTTCAGACCTCCATTCTCAATCTGGGACTATCTAAACCCATTCTAGCACAGAGATGCAGTCAGTAAGTTTTGATTCCTAAGTCTGGAATATTAGGTAAGAGCAAGCATTTTAAATGCATTTACCAAAATATAATAAATTAGTACATTCATTGAACAGGCTTTTAAAAATGATGTGATGCTTACTTCTGTAGATAGTTTATTTAAAAAAATTGTTTGTTATGATTCACTTGTATGTGCAAAAAATTTTTAAATAATCCAAAGTGAGCACTTATTTTTTATGGCTTACAAAAAGACTTGTTAAAGTACATTTTAAGTGTTTCAGAATTTTCTAATGTATGTCATTTAAATTTGAAAGAAAAGGTGCATCCTTAAATTTTTCTAACAATTTACAGACAAAAAAACACCCAAATACACATATACACACAAAACTTTTACACAGTTTTAGCTTTGCTAATATCAATAAAATACAGTGGGGTGAATGGCTGATTTTTGCAAAACTGCAATTTCTTCCAAAATTAATTGTTAGAGTAAAAAAGTCCCAAAAAAAAGCCACTGTAGAAATTTTTGTTTGCTTGAACTTGAGAAAATTATTTTGCAATTTATTTCAGAAAGGTAAAAAATGGAAAGAACCAAGAAAGTTTGAAAATAAAAACCACCCTTTTCTTGATCTACCTCTTATTTAAAGCATTACAAAGCTTTGATAGGCAAAA